TTCAACCTATATGTAACAATGAATTGCTAATGACTACTCTGAACATAGTAAAAGTCTTTTTCAATATAAGCGTAACATAAATAACATAAAGAGACAAACTCTTTGTCCCTTCTTTTCACAGGTCAGCAAATGAACTTGTCATTTCCGTTTATTCTCTAATGTTATTTACAATGAAACAGTAGCTATTATGTATGAAAATAGTTAAGTTAGTAGAACTAAGCGATAGCATTTTATTCCACTATCGTTTTTTTTTTCAGCTCATAATAATCCAAATGGAATGCCATTTAAAAGTAAAATTATATGTCAACAAGATCTCTCTGATTTTAAACACACTTTTAGGCGGTGTGCTAAAGTCGTTTTAATAAGTCGATAGTGCGATTTTGGTTTAATATTTCATAAATCGGTATTTCTACTCCCTAAATTGAGTTTCAAGCCGTTAAAACTTAATAGTTGACTCACCAATTTTTTGCGGGTCATTGATAACAAAATCCAGCTTCAACATACCCCGACTGCGACTAGCGTGTCCTCAGCGAGGAGTTGCCTTAACAGCGACTTTTACAATGAATTCCTCCATGACTTGGTCCAATAATTATGCTATAAATAAAGCTATTTCAGAAAGAAAACACTAGCCTTTATTTATTCTATTTTACGGCAACTGTAATCATCATTATCAAAGAAAAACACGTTTCCGCTCTTATTTTTACCGAATTAGAGCAATAAAATCAATTTCAGATGTATTTTAAATACAGAGTCATCTATCGCCGGAAGCGGAAACTACTTATCTGTTTCACAATTATTGAATCGAAATTCGTTTAGTGCACAGTACATCACGAGATTTGAACTTACATATACTCGTAGTTAATAGTATCTCTGGAAACTTCACCAATCCAGCATTAGCCACGAATTCGTTAATAAAGCCAATTATGATGACTTTAGTAACTGGCAATATAATATTAGAAATTGCGTTATACATATTGTAAATATTCATAACAAAACGTGACTAATAGTCAATCACATTTTATATCATTTTGTACTACGTATTTTGTAGTAAGGTGCTTATAACAGGGTTAAAAGAATTACTTCTCAAAAAGACAAAGGAATAGTCACTTACTTGAAACCAATATCGTACAATGTAAATAATATAGTCGCCATTGATTTGACTTAAATTTACTTTACTTTTTTACAAAATCTAAAATGTATTCAGGTAGCTTAGATTTAAATTGATTAACTGAACTTACATTTATAAAGATGACAGTAACAACTTATGAAGCTGTACTCCTTCGTTTGTTATACATATATCTCTTTCCACTCACTTTCGGCACAACAATTAGACTTGCTCGCCGAGTGCTGCGTTTATTAATCTGTAACTTTACAAACGACATGTTATTGATGATTTGTTTTGTTGATGGTTTTTCTAATTATAAAACATGTACTGTAGGCATATAGTTGATTAATAGTCATTATTTTGATTTTATTGTAGATAATGTATTTCCTCTCACCTTAATTTAGATACCTCTCACCTTAATTTAGTGAACAGTTTGCTTCACACAAATTTTAGCTTCAAACTTCTTACCACTCGTAATATCAATTTATCGATCAGGGTTTCAATCTTCTTAATTTATGTACTTGACAACTTTTCAGGCTGTAAATGAACTTATCGATTTAACGATTAGATGATCTAACCAATTTAATGGTCAGCCGTGCTGCTTTCACGTCTGTAAGACATGACTGATCTAACCAATTTAATGGTCCGCTATGCAGCTTTCATGTTTGCAAGACATGAATCATCTAACCAATTTAATGGTCAGCCGTAGTGCTTTTATGTCTTTAGACATGTTTTCATACTTGTAAGACATGAATCATCCAACCAATTTAATGGTCAGCCGTGGTGCTTTTATACCTGTAACACTTCAATGATCTAACCAATTTAATGGTCAGCCGTGGTTCTTTTATATTTGCAAGACATCAATGATTTAACCAATTTAATGGTCAGCTATACTCTGTAGACTGCGAAAGTTCTTCTTCTTCGTCGTTACAGTTTTGTCAGATTGGTCATGGTCATCAAGTATCAATGACCTACTTAGTACATTGGTGGTCCAAGGTATCTTCAGCATTCTTCTCCAGCACCACATCTCGAGCGCGTCTATCTTCTTTTTCTCCCTCTCGTAGGATCCACGTTTTCGACGCATAAATGAATATGGAGAGTACAAGCGATCGTACAAACCGAGTTCTTTTTTCTTTGCATTCTTTGCAATTTCTCCATCGCTGACCTAGTGATTGCCATTCGTCGCTTTATCTCGTCTATACAACCGCCGGTGTTCGTGCGAAAGTTGAAAGCGAAAGTGCGAAAGTACTTACACTTTATTGGAGGTGACTGTACCTATGTTATTGAAGTTATGTATACACATAAGGTTGACCGAGATTAACATCGCCGAATGCTATTATCCATCTACACACTATTTGTCAACCATAGGTCGAAGACAGTCTTAAAAATGAATTTGATTATTGTTTTTGGTCGAAATCATGACAATATATGTATATGTCGTGGATATACTACCCTCGTAGTAAAGTAATGTTTATTTTATCATTGTAATAGTTCGATATTTTCTTTTCTTATTCATTATTCATTTCCTGCTTCATCAATAGACCGGAATTAATTTGTCGCTTGCACATGTATTTCGATGTGACATCGTAGTGCACTTTGTAGTGAACAACTTAGACGGACGAGCACAGCAATGAATCTGTTTCTCTGATAGTCAAATATTGTGATCTTATTTCGATATTCAATTGGTTAAGTTTACATTCCGAACCGTTTTTAAAATATTCACGGCTAGGAACAACTTAAGGCCGCGTTTTACAAATAACTATCATATGTAAACAGAGAAGACTGTTGCTATTTTTGGCAATCCATTACCTACTATTTAATTTTTTTTTTTGTAAGGTAAGGCAAAATAATTTAAACAATACTTTCGTCCATCAATTACTGAAATGTTATTTTTTTACACATTGGTCTTCTCCTTCCTTTTTTTTTCAAATACAATTTATTTCCGTACTCACGGTTTTATCCTCGTCGCCAATGTAGCATTCGTTGTGCTATACTTGGCTCGTTCACGTACCGACACGTGTTGCCGGCTCAAAGGTCTGACATCGACTGACGCCGCACTCTCTCCGGCATGTACTTATGGCGTGTACGCTCGAGACAAACAACACTACGTTTATGCATACACTACACGTATGAAATTCGTTTTTGTTTACAAAAAAAAAAGAAGTATTTTACAAAATTTTTACGTACATTTTGATATTGTATTCACAGTTGTATTTTAAAGCGAGAATAGTTAACCTTGAATTTGAAATAGCTTAAGAATCCGTTGCGACACACAGATATCGCTAATTAAGCTTAATTTGATTCGCTAACCTTGGGTTTCTGAGTCCAAAATCTCCGTTTTAAAAATATCGTCATCTCTTTTATAATATTTGACAACACACAGAAAACAATTTTAAACGGAGATTTTGGACTCCGAAACCTGCGGCAAATCTACAGATACCTCATTTAGTTCCACTAATAATAAGAAAGTAGAAGTAAAGAGAAATATGTAGTCGAAATGTATTTTCAAGAGGAAGAAGCGAGTCCACTAGTAACTAAAAGAAGAAGAAGCGAGACGGAAGTATAACAATGATTTTTTTTGTTTCAGTTTGCTCAGTCTTCGGAATGATAACGGTACATACAGGTCATGACAACAATTCAAAACAAAAGAATATCGTAAATAATACATTAATTAAAGAAGTAAATATGAGAAATCTAACAATGGAGACTTTGAGGACCAAAACATTAGTAAAT